TGCAATTTATCAGGGTTATAAAGACAGCAGTAGGATTAGAAGCAGAATGTGAGTTTTGCCTTTCTAGTTCCCCAGTTCGTCAGAAGGACAGCTGAGATGGTGAAATTCAACAGAAGTTATGATTATGTCTCAGGTAGATTTATATTTCTAAGATGCAAATACTACGGAGTGGAGTTTATGTTGCTGGCCTTCCAAGGGTCTTCTGATTCTACAGAAGCTTTAAGATACTATAGGGAAATACCCACAGGAAAATGAAACCTTCCGAGTTTTCTTTTCTCAGGATTTGACTTCCACTTGAGAAGATGTCGATGCTCAGACAGCAAAGCATGCAGAGTCTCAGGACACTGTGTCTGGTGTGTCCCCCTGTCACTTAAGTTATTTGCATCACATACTCCCCTCCTCCAGAACTAAGGCACTAGACTTGATGCTGGACAATTGATTTGTCTAGATTTCTAGCACCAGAAAGAATTTATAAGAACAGATGAACATCTGTGACCACATATTTGGTAGTAAACTTGTTTTAAGCGTCTTGTGGAGTAGTCACAAAGCCAAGAAGGAAATATTATTAATTTTCAGGCTCTGGTTTAAGCCACTATTAGTGATTCTTTGCTTTACTTCCTACCCTAAGTACACTTTAAAATTTGTCATGCCTCCCCATAAGTTAGTGCCTTCAATGCTTAATTTTTCAAGGAAAATTTATCTTGCATTGCTGGTGTAGTAACCTTCTAGTACCAATGGCTTATATGAAACAGTCTTCTGTTTTAATGACTTCAAAAATATCTTAAGATCCTTTACCCAGAACTTTTATGAGCAAGTAGCTTTCTGCTCTGGGAATGTTATCCCCATTACTAACTGAAAAAAGTACTGCTTATGTATCCCACACCAATACTGAAACATAATCAAATAAGGAATACTTGTTGGATATTAGACACTGAGCATAGTAAGAGAGACATACTGAATCTTCTGTAATTGATGTGAGAACATAGCTTAGTGAAAATAAATCTTTTTTCACTGGAATCCAAAATTCTAGTTTTTAATTTAGTGCTAAAGGGGAAGAAGAAACACAGCCTAACATACATTCCACTGATAAGGAACCCTATATTCCTGCAGCTTTTAAAGGCACTACACTGAAAGAAACACATTTTGTATGCGCATACAAGATCTTCAGCCATAATAACACATTAACAACTGCCATCCACGTCGCCTTATCACTATCCCACTTACCAATGCTTAAAAGGTGACTCTGTTAGATTGACCAAACTCCCTTAATTTGTGATTTTTCTAGTTATGCACCCTGACCTATTAAATGGGCGCACCTTGCACCCTTGCCATTAAAATACTCCCCTCCAATACATTTGCCCAAATCAGTGCACTCAAACTCCTACAGAAATTATCCAACAGCATGAGATGACTTGGAAAAAGTCTGCCTTGCTGTGAAAGAAGAATTACCCCATGAGAACTATCCCCCTCACGGCTTTCGGTTTTTTTTAATTATTTACTTTTTAATGGAAGCAAAACCCCCTATCATCTCACCTTCTCCTCTTTTAATAAGGAATGACTGCCGTGACTACCCCCATCTAGAACCACCATTCACTGCCAGCACCTCTGCTCTCCTCGTGTGCTTAGAGAATAACTGATTAGCACTTTGCATAATTAACCTGATTAGCACTGTGCATAATCAAACTGATTAGCACTTTGCATAATTAAAAAGAAATAATAATAATAACAATAATAAGCAGTAGGTAATAGCAAAAGCTGCTAGTCCCAATGCCTGTTCGTTAGCTTTAGGATTAGTTTAGTGTGGCATATTTTATTTCTTAAAACTATTTCTTTAGAGTTGCACAAGCTTCTGAGAGGTACAGCTTTAAAAATTCTCATTTACTATCAAGATCACTAGTGAAAAAAATTAGTTGTTCTATTACAACTTAGTTCTATTACATCTTAGGATTTCTTGTGCCTCCCACTGCTGAAGCTGAAGACATGAACAGGATAGATGCCTGATCTGATGCACCAGGGGTTTGGTTCCCATATCTGTCTACAGCACTGTTATTGGATTCATCATCACAAGATACAAAAGTCTCACATCTTTTAATGCATATATATGCCTGTAACGTACTTCAAGAGTAGGAAAGCTGTATTATTGTTATTGTTGAGATGGATAAGGTAGAAAGATGTGTATCCTCAGAAGGAGGTAGGCACTGAATTCTCTCCTGCCCTGAACAATTATTCCAGACCACAGGAAGCATGGGAAGGAATACAGAATTCGTCAGATCCCTGCCCCTAAGCCTACATGGTTCTTCCCCGATTTGAGTATCACTCATCTACATGTATTTTTTGCAACCTGATCAATAATGCAAGAGACAGAAGGTACTTTGTTTCCTAGCCTGTCCCATCTAAATCTCCCAATTAGGGTTTCAAGATTAATCACCACCTCCCAAAATCTGAAGAATGTGCATAACTACACCTACCTAGATTGCAAACTCTGTTTAAAAATCCATGTTAAATGCCTGCATCACTAACGACTCAGTTCTCCTGGACATTCAATATCAGTGAACAAGAAGGGTGACCCAAGTCAGCCAGTAAAACACCAACATTTTCTGCTTGCTAACGTGGGCTCATCCCTCCTAGTCACCAATATATCCCATGTTACTCTTCAATTTAACCTCACCTCTCTCTAGCATCCTTATATTACAGCTCATATTTCCTTTGCATTCCTTACAATCCTCACCTTACATATTCTATTATGCCTTCAAGAGTACCTGAAATACTGACTGCCAGACCTCCTCCACGCCCTTACAATCACCCTGCCTCCATTTCCCACTGGGTAGCAGACACTTTATGGCTTCTCTGCTGACTGCTAAGGCCAGGGCGGTTGGGACACTGGGCAGCTGGGGGTCAGCTTGTTCTGAGTGATCAGTCTGACTGCACTTTAGCTGTCCAGAAAGGAATGCAGTGCCCAGACTGCACACACTTCTCAGATGCAGCACACAGCACGGACTTGGCCTAGAACTGTGGCAAAAATATTCCCACTCTGTTCAAGCTTCTCTTGTAAGATTTCTCTCATAAAATAAGCCAATGAGAAACTGAGGGGTGGAAATGGCAATAAAAGATAATCTTATCATAATTAGCTGGAAATGAACTACCCATGCAGAGAGGTCTCTCCATCACTCTAAGCTAAAGAACCCATATGAACAACGAAGGGTGCAGAGCTAGTTACTCATTTCACAAGTTGTTTAGTTTCAGTAAAAATGTGTTGCTGTAGAGATTTCTCAAGTCCAAATGTTCCTGGGGAAGGTAGTTCCAGTAATTCTGGGAAGGAAGCCAATCCGTTGGCTTTGTATGTAAATATTTAAACAACATTATTTTTATATACATATATTTTATACACTTATACATATATGTCTTTAGACTTCCAGACTTGCAAAACTGCAACAGAAAAAATAGGCAAGCTGACATATAGCTATTGTCTCTGCCTGAAACCATGCTAACTGACCATCAGAAACAAAATACAACAAAGACTTGGAGATAATTGAGCCATATCACCTTTGTATACTGGTCCACTCAAACAGAAGTGCTGAAAGATCAGGAGTAGAAATTCAAAAGGTAGAGAGAGACAAGTCTCAAATTTCATCTCCTTAGAAGTGGCAAGAAAATAAGGTTCATGTATTTTAAATCTTTCAGAACCTAGATGGATACAAGCATTCCACCCACAGGTGTGGAATCTCCAGTTGTGGATGACACAAAGCTTTACATTCTGAGCATTTTAGTGTTATGACACCTGACAGTAAAGCTGCAACTTCATGTTTAGAAAGGTCACTGCTGCTTCAGGCTTAAATCAGGTCCATACCTCAAAAGGGATAACTTGGCAGAAAACATCAGTGAAAGAATGGAAATGCATCTGGCACTGAGCACTGGTGAATAAATAAAATGGGGGAAAAAATAAAGCCTTAAAATTGTTGAGGAGAGGGTTGACAAAATGGAGGAAGATGATTTAGTGAGAAAAGGTACCCAGTCAGGGCATACGATGAATAAATCAATCTATGAAAATGAAATTCACCACATGAATTCCACCTCTATCTACTCAGTAAGCAGTAAACACACCCTAGTACAAGGCACATGTGTGTAAATTCATAGCTACATGATTTAAAGAAATAAAATACTTATGAGTACAGTACTTAAATGTTTGTACATATAGCACAGCCAGTGAGTTTTAAGAACACAGAAGTGCACACAGATAAAAAAGCACACAGAAAATAGGACCAAGAGGAGGACCAAGCCTTTTAGAAAATATTTTAATGGCTTTATAAAAAGCCTTCACCCAAAGTTTGAGGGGCTTTTGCAATCTTACATTTTCTATTGCAAAATACACCTGCTTTCTTCTCTTTTTTCCCCCTAAACTAAATATTTCTTCCATCTAATGACTCTCTTTATTAGACAGCATCTAATTTGCATACATTTACATACAATTTAACTGCTAGCTTGTGAGAACAAAGAAATGGCTCTGTATTGCACTGAAGGACAATACTCAGAAAGGAAGGTATAAAAACCAGCTAGCTCGGTGGCTGTATATTCCCTTTGTTTCAGAAATACTAGGAGTTTTAAACACACTACTTAAAGGGTGAAAAAGATTATTTCATCAAACAATGAAAAAAGATACAGTGCAGCTTCCTTTTAATGCATTCTCTCTCTGGCCTGGTTAATGGGATTTAAGGGTCCAATATTTCTTTGCTTTCTTCTGTTTCTTTTATTAGAACTGATGGATTTAATTCTGTCACATATTTTACTTCATATTTTATTCCTATAACAATCTATGCTGAAGTTCAGCTCCAATGCTAATTCAATACTATCTTCCTTTCCTTGCAGTCAGCCTGGAATACAACTGAACGATCTCTGATGGGCATGAAGTGCTCTGCTCTCAATGCCCAGTGCTAATGGATTTTAGAGAGAGTCTGCCAGAGCTTTACCTCATGGCAACAAGTCTAGAGATAATGAAAACTTACCATGTAGCTGACTGGGAATCAACAGGAAGGGAAGCAGGGCTGAGCTCCGCTTGTGAGAACAGGGAGGGACTGTGGTCAGAGTAAATGCAGGATGTAAAGGATGCGTCAAGACCTCTAGTTCCCTGAGGAGAGAGCGGTGGGGAAAAAAAGAGGAGAAAATTATCCTTCAAGGCCTTGCACGAAGGAAAACCCTTTAGAAACAGTTGTCAGGAACTCCAGCACATGCCCTACCAAAATCATTATAGAGTCAGCAAGTGTTTTTCTCCAAAGTCTCTGCAGTTGGGGTACCAATTGCTCAGGACAGCTACAGATCTAATCCATGTAGACTTCACATAAAAACCTTGCAGAAAAAAACCACAACATTTCAGGCTGCATGCTGCAGATGCCTACATGCTCTCGTATGTGCAAAACATAGGGATACAGAGCAGTTTTCCCATTTGTCCTGCCTGCACGGCAGTGCTGCTAGCTTCACTTCTGAACTCTCCTCCTCCCAACATCAAACTCAATGACTTGTGCTCAGTGGGGCAGAAAAATTAAAGTATCACCATTCAGTGGTGTAGGGATGGGTGAAAGATGACCCAGTCGCTCTGCTGGCATGTTCTAAGGGCCTGTCCTAGAGAACTTACAAGAAAACATTAGAGATTTACACAGTTACAAGAGAAACCTCTTCTGGCGTAAACAGACCTACTGCAATAGAATGGAATAGGACTATTCTTCGTAAAAACCACTAGGCCAAGTGAGCCTGCACACAAAGCAGGAGTAGAATTCAGGACACAGCATTCATCTGCTCCATGTGGTCTGGGGAACACCGGCTTTCTATGATCAGCACAAGGCCAAGTGTTAATTCCATGGGAATTCTCACTCCAGCATGAGGGGCACAGTAGCACTGTTACTGACCATACAGGAGCCACAGCACAAGCTGTACACACAAGAAACTGGTGCTGATACTGTCCTGATATGACTCACTGGCACTCAAAACACATTATGGATTATTTTCAGATGCAAATTTTAATTTAAAGCTGGCTGAAATGTTAATGACATTTTAGCTGTTTTTCAAAGGGGAAAATTCCCTAATGCTTACAAAAATGTTCCCCCCCCCCCGCCTGATCTGCTTCTAGTGACATACAGCAACCAAACCTCATAAAAGAAATTAATCAAGCCTTCATATCATTTTCCCTTTTCAAGGGTGGAAAGGTTGAAGTGTGTGATCTTCAGCGTTTCTGATGTATACCAAAATGATGCATTAGAAAACAGTGGAGGAAGGAAATTCCAAAGCCACAGTTCTCCTGATTATCATATCCTATGCTCACAGCTATATCTTGCTGAAAGCACTCGGTTATCATTTCCAGAACCTTACAAGCATGGCTGTGTTATGATGTAAGCTGATTTTAACTGGAGCTGTCACAATCCCAACCTGCCCTCACCTCCTTCCTCTCCTTGTCATATGTCCCCAAGTCCACCCTAGAGCCAGGACTGGGTAAGTGCCTGGTTCAGGGAGCTTTCAGCCGAATGAAGGCTTCTTTTCCATGTGTTTTTAGCCACATCAAACCCTCATTGCAGCTCAAGATCCAGCAGAAAACTTGGGGGTTAGGGAGGCAGCAGAACTGTTCAAGTGGAGGAACAGCAACACAGCAGCATCAACACTGATTAGTTTAAGCTGCTGTAGACCTACACCTTGTGATGTCTAGGGCTGCTTTGGTATAACACGGGAGAAATACTCTTATCACACAGCTGGAAGCCAAACCAACCACAGCTTTATGGGTAAAAAAGACCCCACCTTACACACTAACCTAAAATAAACTGTTGGGCCACACAGACCATACAGAACAGATGCAGACTGCCTCTGATGAAAAATAGCTTGAGATAATGGTGCACTGCTACAATCTGCACCAAGGGCATTTTCCAAGTGGCAGGATGAATTAGCCTCAAGTGACATGCATTACAGAGTAACACTTCCCTGAGGCAATAAGGCAAGGTCCCACGTTGAAATGGAAAGAAGTGAGCATTCTTGCCAAAGGCAAATGACAAAGCATGTAATTAAGAACCACTGTTACCAGAAGATGGTGAAGCTCCTGAAAAATCTTTCAAGGACTTCAGAAAATACACCTGGAGATACAGAGCAGGAATTTTCCTTTACATTTCTACAGTAACCATACCACACGTCTCTTTTGCTGCTTTCCAAGGAAGAAATCAATTGTGTCTGACTGGAAACTAACTTTCTAACCCCCAGTAGTTCTACAGCCACTCTGTCCAAACAGCTGTGCAGGATGGGTATCTGGATTTCAGCTGAATACAGAAGACACTGAAGTTCCCCTTCCTTTTGCTTCCCTGCTCCAGGGAATTGGAATATTTTACATCCTACAAGAGAGCTCCTTTGGTGGTAGGTCACCTGACACCACCACCCACAATATCTTCAGGAGAAGGAGTCACTAAGGAAGAGCTTCACAAGCCAGTCAGCACCCACAGAGGATTCAGTATCTTTGGAAATTAAAGTAACTGAGGAAAGGAATCAGTGCAGACACGTGATCTTCACCTGTTTTCATCAGCTCAACAACCAACACCCACCCTTTCAGTACTGCAGTTAGAATTTGTATTGCCAAGTTACAACCAGGCCTCAAGGGCAGGACACCAGACCCGGCATAGGAACTGGTGACTTTTGTTCAACAATAACAAAACAATGCTTTCCAGCATATGTGACTCTGAAGCAATGGCATTCACACAACTACTATTTTTCATTCCAGCCTTCTACACACTCTCAAGACAGTTATAGCTATTTTATCAACCACGGGCAGCTGTATGGGTTGTTACACAAACCTATACATGTTCAAGTTATGCAACCCCTAGACAAGAGGTTGGGCTGGTTTCCCCAGCAGAAGATTCCCGTTTTCCTTCAACTGCCCTTAAGGTAGAGTTACCAGTACAACCCATTTGTGTACATATTCTTCCTGTGGTGTCACTGAATATGTCTCTCTGCAAAATAATTGTCCATTGGAAAGCATGCATACTTAAACATCCACGTGATGACATATATGTGCAGACACACATATAAAATAACCTTGGCCAATACCTGTTTGATTGAATTAATTTTACTCTTTCCACATTACAACAGGTGCCCACATCAGTTTTGACTGTCTTTAAAACAATGACAGGAATCTAAAATTTTTAATTATGCCAACATTTGAATACGTTCAATTCAAGTGCTCTTGATCAACTGAGAAGTGTATTACCACAACACCAGCCTCAAATTTTATCTTCTTTTTAACAATTCTTCTTGGAGCTTAAAGTTGGTTAAGCAAATAATTCATCAGATTTTTCCCTTCTCTTTCTTTTGTTGTTATGTACTCTACTGAAGCTGCAAGATGAAAATGTAAAAGCTGGTTTAAGCAGAAGAATAATTCAGTGGAAGTCCTATTGCACCAAATTAAGAATTGGCACTAATCAAGTTCCACTTTTTGTACACATGGGTGGGATTATCCAAAGGAACAAGGGTGTGACTCTCTTTCCATTTAAATTATGGCAAGGAAGTCTAAGCTGAATCCATCAGCATCATATTCAGACCAGTTCTGAGCATTTTTGAAAATCCTCCCTGTTGCAACCTGCCCAGAAAGTGGGCATAAATAAATAAACTTCCACCACCTTGTGTCCTGGAAGCAACATCCACAAGCTGCAGCTTGTGCAGCTCTGTGAAGTTAAGGGTGTTGTGAGTTTCTTTTTAAATACAACCAATATTTCTGAAGTTACTTCTTTCAAACATTCGCTTAGATTTGATAAATCATATTAAATACAATTTGCCTCAGCAGCATTTCAAAGCACGACGGCCAGAGCACGAGCAGGTCATTTTTACACGGAGCGTGCAATCTCCCCAGTTGTGCAGACAGCCTGGATTATGTATGCAGGCCCACACTCCCCGAGATAACAAAATTACCCGGCTCGCACTCCAAGCCAGTCAGAAACTGTGGAGTCGCAGACAGCAAAGTCAAGCCCGAGCCAATCACTCCTGCTAAGCAGCTGCTATCTCAGTTGCTTATTAGTTCACTGGCCACGACCAAAGGCTTCAGATGGGCTTACAGTATGCACAGAACAAAATTGTCTCTGCTTTCAAACACCACAGAAAAATAACCATGAATGGATACTATCAAAGGGTAGAGGTAGGAGAAAACCCTCTTGTTAAATTTACTCAAAACATTATTTTTTGAACACTGAGGAGAAAATCCTTACTCTTGAATACTGTATAATAACAGAACCATGCTGTTTGCTGGCAGAAAGCTAAGTTTCATTTTCAACAGAAAAAAAAATTGTATTATAATTTTTCCTGATTTAGATGGGGTTTAGGTCAACCTTAGCTACATACAAATGAATGTTTTGTTCAAATTACAGGGTAATTTTAATTAGGACACCCTGCTAGACATCCTGTTGTTCTATTTAATGGACTTTCTCAATTATGAGAAGAAACACCTCCCCACCCGCCTGCGACTTAAAGTAAAAATTATGCTGAATAAATACACAAAGACAAAAATTATTATTCTGTATTAGGTCTTTTTATTTCTGCTAATCTTTATTTGGCAATTGCTGTATCAAAAGGGCAGAGTTCAGAATCCCACACCCATTAAACACCTGTTTAAAAACCACTTGAAGCACTGGAACCAGCCAAATATGTCCCAATTAAGCAGAAACGTTGGCACTGCTGTCTGGGGTAAGGAACACCCATTGCCATTTGCTCTCATTAGGTTAAACGGGTTTCTTGGGACATAGCTGAATTCCTGATTATGTGCATTGCAAATGGATGGAGAACACTAGAACAATAAAATTTAATTCAGCATAGCCTTCTGTCCAGTTGTCAAGCACGGAATTTTGGAAAAAGCAAAAACTGATGCTTTGGGAAGTGGATGAGAGTTATACGTTCTAAGTATGTATGAGACAGCTCATACTTCTTTTAAGAAACTGCCTGGTCAATGTAACAGGAAGAATTGGGTTGGGATTTCTACTTGAAAATGCTCTCTGATTTAGAGCCCATTTAATTTTTGTTAGCATCTCCTCCTCTGTACTTTGCAGTAGCTTGATTCGCTTACACAGTTTTATTTGTTAGTTAGAAGCATAATACAGTATCTTTTTATATCCACTT